GCAACCTAGCTGCAGGCCACTGTGGACCAGGCAGATCGTGAAAAACCGGACCGCGCGCTAGCCAAACACAGCGCGCAAAGGACTAGGATACCGGACCGAAAAAAATAAACATTTCTATTAAATGACTTTTGGCAGGAAACTTTAGTGAGAATTTTAAACCTAGTGTAGTTTTAAAAAAATTACAAGGAATCAGAAAATAGAGACTCGCAAAAATTAGAAGACGAATAAAGTAAATTTTAAAGAAGTTAAACCAATCGATCTAGGATGCACTTATAAGAACTGCACCTTTATGTGCCAATTCAGTAATTTGGCAATTTCAACACGATCCTGGGATCAAAAGATTGTTCTGAAAAAATCTGGGCTATTTCCTATTTAGTCTAAAGCTTGATCAGTGTTTCCCGCAAAAGATTCATTTAAAAACTATATTCAGGATAGAAGATATTTTTAACTTTTATTTATTGATACTTTATCTTGAAGCCTTGTGGCCTCAAAATTCACACAATTTTGTACCACAAATAAGCAATGAGTCTGTGGGCTAAATTTGARCTGTTGTTATGCAGTACACATAAACTTGATACAATTTTTGAAAACACATCTTTTCGATCGGAACCGTTAGTGGTTTTCTTATATTTAATTTTAAAGATTATCTGAAATATAGTTGTTCATGGTATATAATACTAATATCTACAGTACCAGAAGGAAAACCATCAGGTGTATCTGCAACACCAAAGTCATCAAGAAGCATTGAAGTAACATGGAAGGTATATTTCTTAGTAAAAGTCAGTCGTATGACTTCCATATATGGACGTCCCTTTGAATGGCTCGCATGTACATATAGAAGTCTGTCAAATCCCTATAGAAGGTTCTTTAATGACATATCCAATCTTACGTACATACACGTCGTTATCTTGTCAGAAAAAATCGTATTCATTCAAGCGAATTTAGCTCATTGTTTAATGGTTAGATTTAGTGAAATTATGGGATTATACAATGCAAGGACGGTTTCGAATCTTCATGATCACCTTTTCTTTAGTTTTTTCATTACTTTGTTTAGTCCTTCTCCACAGAAGATGTACATGGGAGCCTTCTATGTGTTCATAATAAACGACATGTACATCACACCTCTATATAAAAGTCGTATGACAGATCCTTCTCACATCTATCTCATGTCTATTGCCATTGTCCCTCTGCTGCTTATTGATCTACAATCCGCCCCGAAAGGCATGACCACTTCTAACACTTTCGCCTTTCTAATTTCGTACACTATATTCCGAATACGATTGCAGTCCATAATATACGCTGACACAAGATAGCGATACTAAAGAACATCATCATTTCACAATAAGTAAAGGAATGTGTTAAAGGAGAAAAGTACGGCTCCATTTTGGTTACCTTGATTCCTTATGTAGGCTTTATGATTGTTTAACTGGTAGAAAAAGTCATCGTCCTTGTACTCTAAATATAACTGTCCACGTATTTGAATGACAATATATAGCATGTCAAACATTTGTCCATTTTCACCTCAATATTCTCTAGATGCCACATTGGGCAAAATTCAACGGACCTTCAACTGGCTTTAGAATTACATATACTGATGCACGAAGAATCAAAAAGACAAAACTCGTTGGAAACGTCAAAAAAGCCTTACTGACCAACTTGAACAAGTGGATGAAATACAGTATAACTGTATCAATGTGGAATTCAAGATATTATGGCACTGAAAGCAACGTCGCAACAGCAATCACAAAAAAAGATGGTAAATAGTAGATGAATAAGTACAAAAAAATACTTTGTATTCAGAGATTTGAATTTACTTTTGGTGTCTGATACATTATTTTGAAGCCCTCTGACATCGAAACTCATACCTTTAATTTTTGTGACGCAAATAAGCAATGAGACTGCGGGCTAAAATTCAAATCTCTGTTCAGGGCACGTAAGCTTAATATAATTCTTGAAAAACACATCTTTTTGATCGCTCATAGAAGCTGTTAGTGGTTGAATGATGCACAACTTCTATATCTAATGTTATAGAATGCTTGATATATAACGCGCGTTTTGATTGGCTGACGACTGTGTTTATATCAGAGTACAGAGACACGGCTTGCTGACAAAACTTGTTTTTCGCTCGAAAATCGCAGAAAAGTTTTATAGAAGAACTATAAAATTGCCACTTGTGTCTCTCTTCTCTGATATAAACACAGTAGCAGTTGAAAAACTCTCGAGATGCAAGAGAAACACTCGTTGTGCTCGTTTTTCTAAGATTGCTTCTCTCGTGTTTGTCAACTCCCACCGTGTTTATATCAGATGACAAGACACGCGCGCCGTCTTCTCAATCAATATCAACGTAATTGTTAATGGTATATAATATTGATATCTACAGTACCAGAAGGAAAACCAACAGATGTATCAGCAACACCAAAGTCATCAAGAAGCATTGAAGTAACATGGGAGGTATATTTCTTAGTAGAGGTCGGACGCATTACTACCATATATGGATGTTCCTATGAATGGCTCCAATGTACATACAAAAGTCTATCAAATCCCTATATTAGGTTCTACAATTATATATTCAATCTTACGTCGTTAGTCGTGAAGTCCATTACAAAAAATCACGCAAAATTCATGTTCATACAGGCGACTCGAATTCATTGTTCAAAGGTTAGATTTAGGGAAAAAATAGGGTTAGAAAATGCACAAGGATGGATTCGAATCTTCTCATGGTAGCCTGTAATTTGAAATTTTTGAACAATTTCTTGGTTTCATAGTGTACTTTGCTGCATCAACCTTGGTGTTTAATAAAATAAAACCTAGCTACAATCAAATTTTTAAAATTTCTTGGTTCTTCTACACAAAGTGTGTACATGAGAGCCTTTATGTGTACGTAAACGACGTGTACATGTTCACCTCTATATAAAAGTTCTATGACAGATCCTTCTCATAATTATCTCATGCCTATTGCCATTGTATCTCTGCTGCTTATTGATCTACAATCCGCCCCGAAAGTAAATCACCAATTTTAACACTTTCGCCTTTTTTAATTTCGTACGCTTTATTCTGAATAGGGTTAATTTGGTGCATTTTAATTTTAAAATGTTTCATATCGTGATCCTTAACACAGTCCATAATATACGCTGACACAAGATAGCGATCGATATTACAGTTCCTCATCATTTCACAATAAACTTAAATAGTGTAACAAAAGAAATATACTGGATTCTTTTTTGTTACCTCCTTAATTCCTTATTTAGTCTTAAGTATAACTGTCCATGTTTTCGATTGTCAATATTTAGCATATCAAACATCTGTCCAATTTTTACCTCAATATTCTCTAGTTGCCACGCTCGGCCAAATTCAACGGACCTTCAACTGGCTTTAGAATTACTTACACTAATGCACGAAGAATCAAAAAGACAAAACTCGTTAGAAACGTCAGAAAAGCCTTACTGACCAACTTGATCAAGTGGATGAAATACAGTATAACCATATCAATGTGGAATTCAAAGTATCGTGGCACAGAAAGCAACATCGCAACAGCGACCACAGAAAGAGATGGTAAATAGTAGATGCGGAATAAGTAGGAAAAAAAACTGTATTGTAATAATAATGCACAGAACCAAAAAATTCAAGTGAAAGGTGTGCTAGATTGCAGAGATTTGAATTTACCTTTAGTGTCTGATACTTTACCTTAAAGCCTTCTGACCTCAAAATTTACACCTTCTTGTGCCGCAAATAAGAAATGAGACTGTTGGCTAAATTCAAATCTCTCTTGTCATGCATTGTACGTAAGCTAAATATAATTCTTGAAAACACATCTTTT